TTTTTTCTGGTTATTTTACCATACACTTTACTTTTGCAGGTGCATCTCTTTTCCACATGCTGTTTGTGTTGTGTAGCTTATAGCTATTCAGTCCATTTCATTCAACAACATCGTTAATAATAACTAGAAAAAAACAGTGAGAGAAACTTTTCATTGATTTGTGGTTATGTCGAAAATTTAAAATATCCAGAGCTGTCAATCTATCATCTTTCATAAGAACTAGAAGTTTACTTTTATACTCTCTACTTGAAAGGTTTTCTATCACTATGAAAATGTCTTTCTATCATCACGGAAAAGTCAGTTCTGAAGGGAAATAACTAGGAGCAATAAGATGAAATTAAGCAAAGGAATATTTAGACAGAACTGAAGTCAACTTTTCTAATACCGTAGTCTGGATAAAGTCTCTGGAAGGAAAAAAAACAATTCCATTACATAGTACAGCTTATTACATTAGACAATTTTAATTAGATTGGACAATAGAAGCCTAGAACCAAAATCCATTCTACCGCAGGTAAGGAATTACTGAAATCTCTCATACTCCAGGCACTACATTTAAAGATAATAAAATGTCCAGTTTTCTTCAATTTTATCTACAATGGCTATCAAAATTGACATTTACATTTAATAGAGCTGGCAATGAAGTATTGTCTATATTAACAGCATCCTTTTAAAGTAGTTATGAATTCCTGAGACAGGAGTTCACAGCATAAACTTCTGATTCTCAGGAGATTTTTTTGGTTTTCAACACAAATACAAAAAGTAACACCAGCAATCAATTGTAACACTAAAAGCAATAATAGGTAAAGACTGAAAATTCATGGGGAAGCGGTAATCTTCTGTTATATGGCATACAACAAGCAATTCAAATGATATTTTAATGTGTTTTTCTTCTTTACAACCTGCTGATATATGAAGCTTGGAGGTCCATTATTAAATGCTGAAGGTAAAACAAAATAAATGAGAAAACACATAGAAGTTGGAAGAGAAGAATCAATGATGACATTAAGGTAAGATTTAAAAAAAATAATCAAGAAATAATAATAGTAACAAGCATCTCTACAGACATTTCTCTTTGGTTCTACTTCAAAAAGAAAAAATAGTTTCCTGTCAATACCACCACCTTTAAATGTAAAGATGTTTAAAGATGTTTTAAGCCATTTACTCCATTAATAGAAACAAATACTGATAAATAGCATGGAACAATACTTGGTACAGTCATTTTTAATTTCTGATATAGAAAGTGCTCAACTCATTCTTCAATAGCTTTAAATGGCTCTTTTCCTTAGGAGAAGGGAGCAATAAGTTTTCTTGGGTTCAGCAATAACAGCAGACCTGGAGTCTGATCAGCAGTGGTCATACAATCAGTTAAAAGAAATTAATTTATATTTCATAATAACTTTTTTACTTGTGAAATGTTAATTATAGGAAAATTCATTAATGGCCTTATTTACAGAGAACGAATGCCAGCATCAAACAAACCCAATTTACTAATGACGCTCTGCCAACAAATGGTGATTCACTAACTGAACAAGTGAATTAACAATCATTTTCCTTACAAAATAATAGTAGGCAAAAATATAACTTGGCGGTATTTCCCTCGTGTTACTGTGGACACTAATTAGCACAGTTATATAAAAAAAGAGTTGAATTAAATATGTCAAGGTCTCAGAATTGTTTGAATTCTTCTTTGCTTAATTAATCCAAATATTTAAATTAGCTCCTTCATGTAATTTGGTGTTTCAACCAGAATCCCACTGAATCCCACTGACAGACACATAAAATTATTATTTGCAGACTGCTTATGTAGCTCCCTTTTGAAGCCTGCAACTAAAATAAAGATGTAATCCCTTCCCATAAAACATCTCGAAGTAGTCATGGTCTCTGTTAATTAGCCAAGCGCTTATCCTGTTCTCTGACCACCAGATCTCACATAGTAGACAACTCATCAGGTTTGTGATTTTTCTTTTGATTGGTTAAGTCTACAATATTCACAGAAACTAAATTTCAGCTAAAACTTCTTCCCTACCCCTCCTTTCAGTTTCCAGAAATTATGAAAAAAAAGGTGGTTTAGAAGCTGCAGTGATCAGCAAGTGTCCAAAATTTTACTTTAGAAAAGCCACAGATTTGCAGCACAGAAAGTGCACACTGTTGTATGCACTTGCCTATCTTAGTTTGCCATTTCTTCACAGTTCTCTTTAAGCTATGGTCCTTGTAGCATTCATGGAGTGCTCTGCATTTAGCATGATATTTACTTGAGTTTCCTTTCACAGGACAAACTGCAGTTTTTCATTGTTTTCCTTAGAATCCTAACACTTAACCTTTGTAGCCATTTGAGATGAGTAGTAACTGTCCCTAGGAAAACACTCTTCCTCTGTTTTACTGAGATGGAGTGCCCACAATTTTAGCACAACAGTGAGCATTGAACAAAACCCAACTCTGTCCTTAGTGCAAATGGTGAGCAGACCTTAGTCTGCCCCTCCTCTAAACAGTGTTGCAACACTGTTTAGGAGTAGGAAAAAAAATAATGCAAGCCGGTCTCTTTTGTTGTGAAGTCTAAAAATGGAAGTATGAGTTTTACCATTGAATCCAAAGGTACACGGTGCGGTATCTTCCATGTATCCATAAATTATGCAAAGTTTCTAACTAACTAAACAAGACGGGCTATTTTCTCTTTTAATTTTAAAACGGGTTGATATTATTAATTCCAAATTCTTGTTTCACCTTCTTTTCTGTTCTAACAAACCTAATTTCAGAGAATTACTCTTCCAATTTAAAATTATTCTTGTCTCTCACTGGACTTTTTAAGCACTTCTTTGCAACTTGCACCTGTTAACAAGAATCTCATGTGAATGGACTCATAATTTCTTCAGGATGAGACGAGCTCCAAAAAGACACATCTTATCCCATTTGCACTATCATAATTTTGAGATAATCTGTAATTACATTGTCGTCTTGGCAAGTGCTGGAAGTAATATCAATATTCTTTATAAGTAGATCAGTCTTCCAGAGAAAATCTTCTAGACACGTGGCAAATTGTGAGTACCCGTGGGAACAAGTGAAGATCTGTTCTGGGGTCTTCCATCACTGTCAATATACTTGACATAAATTCAGAAATCTAGCCAGCATTTGGAAGCAGCAACTCCTACAAATCTTTTTAATGTCACAAACTGTATGCCAGTTGCATTAATTGCAAATAATATTATCTTACAAAAAAAAAAGTATACAGGCTACCTCACATGCAATTTGTCCTTTTCTTTTTAAATGGAGCTTCAGGGCAAACATGCAGAATGGATACAATCTCAATAGTAAAGCCTTAGCCATTAAAGAATCGGAGATGCGATGGGGGGTGTTTACTAGAAGAAAAAAAAAGAAGTTCTAGTCATGTTTTACTGACTGTGAACTAATTAACTGGTGCAAGGCAGGACTGCTAAGAGAGGCTGTGTCTGTACTACTGGATAGGATAGAATTGCTTTTACAACAAGAATTACAAAATATTACAACATCACACCCAAATGCACCACAGAAATAAAGTGGAAGTGAAAAAGAGATTTCCTTTGCTTTCTCTCCAAAACAGAGGGCGTGACTGTAACACTCCTACTAATATGATGTTCATTAAAGAATCAGATCTTAATATAAGTGATAAAGAGATAATACAGAAAGTGTCTGCTGCACAGCTCCAGACAGTTTACAGCTTTCAGATCAGTGCCATGGATCATATTGTGAAGTCAAAGAAACAAAAGGAGAAAAAACCAAATAGGTAAAGGACCTAATGTAATAAATTTATTTCTCTAAATGGCAAATACCTGTTTTCATGGAGATAGGACTGCAAACACCAATAGGTTAGCAAAAGGCTAGCAATCTATCAGAATAGTATTTTTTGCAAATACAGTAGCTAAAACTTACAATAAAATTTTAGTTGACATATCCATAACAGCTGTAGACTCATATATCTAACACTATAAATAATTTTCCACAAATAAAACCCTTTTTTTCCCTGAAAAGAAATGATTTTGCATTGCATTTTTCACAATACTTACACGGAATAAACCAGATTCTTTCCATGACAAAACTACCACCTAATCACTGGACAGGAGAAGTGGTTAAAACATTGCTAAGAAGCAATTTGACTGCTATCACTTAATAACTCAGTTGGAGAAAAATTGCCAAGCAAGATCAGTCTTAAACTCCCTTTAATTCAAGATGCTACTTTAAGCAGTGTTTAGTACCCAATGCTTCAGAGACAAGTCAAAGAAACATCAGAATAACCTAATGAGTATTAGCTTGGCAAATTTATGGAAAAAACATCTAAAAAGCATACTTCATGAAAGTCAAATTGAACTCCATTTTACGCGTGTCATTTTAAACTGTTTCTGTCATTTAGTATGTACCTTATATTCTTTTCATTTTAAATATTAAGAAATTCAGCACCCTCAGAAACGGCAATAAGGTCATTAGTTTAAAGCCTACGTGCACTTACACCAGCATAACTACAGAATATTCTGACTGTGGACTCGTTACAAAGGCGTAGCTGAGCACTGAACCCGACATACTTACTTTAGACAGTATTTATTATAGTAAGGGTAATACCCTCCCTGTGTGTCACGTTACATCTGGTAAATACACAGGCTTAAATGCAAATAGAGAAACAGTCTGGAAAGATCAGATTAGGAATAGAAAAATGTGCTTCGTGCTAAAGAATAAAAAATATGTTGCTTTAAAGCTGCCAAAAGGTGAAAAAGCCATAAGGCATGCAAGTATGGTGGGACTTAGTATAATGAGCTGTTGAAATAAGTCATCCTTTCCAACCTCTTAATACACCTTGTAATTTTTTTAATAAAATTTAACCTGCTCACTTAGTAAAAACAGTTCATGTGTATTTGTGAGGTTAAAATGCTTAAATGAAACAACCTCCACCTGTAGTTATCTAAACCCAACCAGCATCAAGGGGGTTAATCATGTAACCTCAAACCACATGTGAAAGAAAATATTTTATTTCTAACCTCTGCTGCCAGTTGCTGAAGAGAAGGGGATGCAACAGGGTGTAAAGTTGAGTTCCCTCTGACCGGATTATGGAGGCTAACGTAAGCCACAACATTTCTTTGAAGAACTCTCTCGAGATCCTACAACGCAAGCAGAGCAACTGTTATTACTATGCATCATTATAATTAAGACTTGTCTTGTTCTTTCAGTTCCTTCTAGAGAAAAACTGGACCCTACGTTTTTGTCCTCTGTGATTCCCTAAGTGTTACTTAACTACTACTTCTTACAATATTATGCTAAGAACTTCAAAGGATATCTTAGTGTTATTTCTCTATATAGCAGAAGTTATAATTCCATTTCACACATCATCTCAACAAAATGCAAACAGGTCTGGGAGGAACTAAAAATGACTACACTTGTAAGGTGAAAAATGAAAATATTATATAGTGTGAAACAACTTGAAGGCCTTTTAAACCTATGCCTGGCAGAAGACAAACTTCAAAAGCAATCATTATCAACAGTTAAGTGTACTCAAATTTTTAGAGACCAAAGTCAGATTTGAATTGCATAACTTTCCCAGTGTTTTCATTTCCTTATTTTTTAGACTATAAAAATAGTATGTACAAACTGTTTCAATTATTATCTCTCTTTAAAAAAAAGATTCCCTTTGCCTTCTCAGTAATGAGTTACTGTTTGCATGAAGTGGCTCTTTATATTGAACAGAAGGGGTGTAACGCAATTACATCTGATGTAAAGCTGACTTGAAGTGGAACTAAATAAATTTTGCTTCCAGCCTGGATCTTTTCAATTTGATTTTTTCACCCCCTCTTGTTTTTGAAGAATAATCATGTTGGAAGTAAGAAACTTCAATGAGAGCTAGCCACTTCTCACGCATGATAAAAAACCAATTAACTCTTCATTTCATCTACTGTTTTAATTCAGCAGCCATGAACCTCTCTGCTAGCTGTTCCTTTAATTTATCAGCTGAAGTCCACTGTAATCGTATATCATCAACAATACTCCGATGAGGTATTTTCTTTCAATAAGCTGATTTTTATTCTGTTGAAAGTAAGAGCCCAAGGAATCGTCTGTGTCAGATTGTGTCTAACTCCTTAGCACAAATGGGTGAAAAGTGAACCAGCACTAGCAATGGAGATGCTGAAATGTTTATGTAATTAATGTAAACCATAGCACGGTTCTCTTCTCTTCATTCAATATACTTTTGATTCAGTTCTCTCCACACTAAGCCTATCAATTAAAAATTAGTAAGTGTTGAACCCCCAAGAAGGAGGAAAAGCTCTCTAAGCTATTTCTGGGCCTAGGTCTTTTTTGAGGGCTTCCCCCACCCCACCCAATCTCTGGCAATGCCTTCTTTTACAGTCCCCTGCTGAATAAGGGAGGGGAATGAGCTCACAAAGGTGCTGTATATGCAGCCTTCACAGCTATGGAAACAACTTGCCATCTCATTATCATGCATGCTCTGTTCCACAGGAACTGCCTCTATAGATGTTTGCACTGCTTTTGCTATGGAGTACACGAATGTACACAGACAGACATCACAGATCGGTTAATGAACCATAATTTCCATGTGGTAATTTCATATTGCTTTCATGCTTTCAACAAAAGTAATCATTATTGCGATGAGTCCTTCTAAAACAATTTTACCTCCGCCCATTCATATGAACCAATGTTCCCAAATGACGTTCCTCCCCATGAGCAGAACACAATGGTCCGGTCAGGTCTCCAGCCTCTCTTAACCTTCAACATCAAGGCTTGTATAAATGCTGTGATAATAGCGGTGCTGCTGGCCCACTCTTGCCCACCATAAGCATTCAGACCATTGTGATGGCTACCAATGATGACGTATCTGTCTGAAATGTGAAAGAAAAGACAGACAAGAGAATCTTACTTCTTCTCGATGCTGGCATTAAAAATTAAAAAAAAAAAAAAGATGAACTGTATTAGTACTCTGTAATGCCATTAATACGACACAATGCTGTCAACAAAAATGTATATGATCATGTGCAAGACAATCATACAATATAAATACATAAAACTGTGAATACTACTTAAATATAAACTAGTAAATAAATATATGTATATACTTTCCTAATTTAATCCCTGTGCCCTTGCCTTCATTGTTTGCTCATTACTCTCCCGTCTTATAAATCTGATATACACTGTTTTTACAGCCAGGACTTTGTCATACAGATAATCTAATAAAGTTCCATCCTCACATTAGAGCGTTATGAAAAAACACAAATGAATAAGCAGGAAACTCGTATCTTCAATGCATATTAGTGTCCACAAAAGAAAACAAAAGGTGTGGTAGTACAATGAGAAACAGAGAGAAAATACACAAATTATGAGTACTCCCTCACCTGGCAGACTGTGTTCAGTGCTCACCACCCTATCTCAAAAAAGATATTGCAGAAACAGCAGTTGAGAAGCTGGTAACCAGAACGGTTATATATCAGGACTTAGACTTCCATGTAAGGAGACATTGAAAAGCCCTGGACTGCAGATTTAGAGAGGAGACATGACAGAGGAATAGAGGTAATGAATGATACAGAAACTGTAAGTCAGACCTAGCAACTTTGATGATACTGGAAGAAAGTATTTTATAAAATGAAAACCAAGAAGTTTCAACTTGAAATAAAGAACATGCCTACGGTTATCCAGAAAAAAACCCACATTTTTTTTCAGAGGAATTAAATGAAATCTTCATCTCTCGAGGCATAATATATAATCTAAATACTAACTTACAGCTGTAAAGAACTTTTTATTTTTATTCTGAAAGGATGATGTGGTATGAAACAACATGAACGACTAGTGTGACTGACACGTCAGTAAGTCTAAGCAGAGTTATGCCGAATGACTTATTAAACTATTAGACCTTCAGTGTAAGATGGATTCACAACCGGAGCCTCTTTGAAGGATTGCTTAGAAATTGTGTTCTGCTATTTAGTAAAGTCTCTTTCTGGTCCAGATCTAGACTTTCAAAGGTGTTCTTGCCATATTTGAGGATACGACAGAGAACAGAAGAACAGTTATCAAGTGGATCTGGCATCAGATCCACAACAGTCTCTCGGTGTCATTTGGGTTCCAAAAAGTGCAAAAAGTTTTCGTTTTCTGACAGTTTTTTGCAGTGACTGCTGCCTAGAAACAATTTTAACTGAACACTAACATACTTTGATTATAAAAACATTCTCTATCAAACTGGATTTTACCAGTTTTGTTCAACAAAATACATGGCGATGTTTTATAAGGAATCAAAAATGCTTTACAAACAGGGGACCTGTTATGCACCTATAACACAACATTTTCAATCAACTGCTTGGCAGGTGTATAGGTATATAAATGAAAATTTCTTTCTAAAAGCAGATATGCAAAATGTAAATTTAAGTATACATAATAATTTAATGTAACAAAATAATAATGTAACAAAAGGCAATCTAAATCACATAATTTTGCAACTTGCTTGTTGCATTATGAGACGCTTAATTATAGGTTGCACTGACAATGAAAAATCATAGGATCTTCAACTCACGTAATGGTAGGAATTGGGCACAGACATGAAGGGCCTTACAGGCTGCTAGGTCGTTGGAGGAAGTGCCACTAACACAGGGTGATCAGACAGGACCAACGCCTGCCCCGTATTATCATCTCTGTTCAGTCTGTGAACAGTGTATGTGAAGGGGAGAGGAAAGAAACCTTGTGTAAAATAGTATAGGACATTTTGATGGAGAAGCAAGCTACACGCAGCAACTTACTGCAGGAGATACCAGATGAATGAACAGGGGTAAAACTTAACAGCTGGTGCCTCCTTTGAAATTCTTCATCTTTACACATCTCTCCCTCTTGAACAGAGGCAATACCCTGAAGCAAATGACTATAGGAAAAGCATAGGAGAAACGATGGTCATGCCTACGGAGGCAGCAGCTGCCCTTTCTCATAATCGTTTGCTGAAGCACGTGGAGAAAGAGATCACATGGTAAGAAAAAAAGAGAAAGAAAGGGCTAGAGATCAAGAAAAAAAATATCCATCAGATACTTTTGAAAGTGATAAGGTGGGATAGTGTTCAGGGCAGTGATGGGCTGGACAACAGCGATTCGTCATAATAAAGAGTGACTTTATACTGTCTTCTGTTGTTATACACCCCATTTTCAATCATGTCCAATAGAGCTACAAAATCAGTGTTCTGTTTCTCAGGTTTTAAAAGGCCTACCAACTATCATATTTCCTCTGCTCCTAAATCTTTTAATATTTTGGTTGGATTTCAGATGCTCACTATTGGTCCTCAGATCAAATATCAAATAAGATTGCCATTACACAGATGTGTTTGTGTGCGTTAGGCAGCCTTTAAGTGTGTGTGTGGGGGAAAAATCCACCCTTGGTGATGCTCTGGTCTTTTATTAAGCACTAAAGATAAATTCGGCTTTCTTTCTGCATTTCTGGGAACATAAAGGTGTATATTTCAGGTGTATGAAACTACCAAAGCCCCATCAAAATGACAGAGAATCAATGCCATGAAAACATCAAGTATTCAAATCAGTTGAGTGGCGTGGCTATAGTATCAACGAGGAAGAGCAGAGAAAGAAATGAAGGTTTAGCACTGATTCTGTACAAAATGTTCTCCATGGTGCATTACAAGCTTAACTTGTGCCTACATTAGAAGGCAGCTGCTCTGGCCCTTGTTCAGCAAGACATTTACGGGACAAACCGTCGGCATCTGGGTAGTGCTATTGACTTCACTTGATTATATATCCTTAAATTCTTAAAGTTAAGCGTATACCGACATACCTTTAAAAGTAGCTTCTTATTAGGAATGCAATAATAAGATGAAAGATTCAGGTATAGAGAAGATAAAGAATTTATTAAACAGAAACTGATGCATGCTGCTTATTATTTGTGTTGTTTCTGCTTTACAACTCAGTAGACAGTATGTCTAAACATGGCAGTTTCTACCTTTCAAATTCCATGACAGCTATTGCAAAACATTAGAAATTGTAGCCTAGTAACTTCAAATTCTTGAAGGAAATTGAATCCTTCATTGAAATTAAATTCACTGTGCTAATTGTTTTCTATGTTGTTTTTTAAAAAAAAAAATTATTCTGGTGAAAAGCACAGCAGTCAGTATTTCACTAACAGGAACAAACTTAAATCTTCTCCACCTCCTTCATTCCATCACTTAAAATATGAAATGACAGGCCCACCTCCTAAGGGACTGTAGATAAATTTGCAACCTTTCCTCTAAACCTAATAAAAGAGTATTAATCAAGGCAAATGTGATGATGTTTTGATGATGATGCCATCTGTACGTTAGGAATTGGACTGGGTCTACACCACTTTGCACTACGTAAGTAGCCAGCAACAGCGTTCATTCGTGTTGCAGAAACCCTTCAACTTTTAGGCAAATTCACTTGCAGACAGAATAAACTCAAAATGATCTTAATTCCTGTGATGTCCTGATTATCATATTATCTACACACAGCGTCAAAGTAGGGAGGGGGTTTGTGGTTTATGTCACAGTTGCACTTAGAATCTTATTGTTTAATTCTTAGACATACAGAACAGTAATTATTATTCATAGACTTGTATAAAACTAGCTTAAGGCATGACTGTAACACAAAATAAGGCTGCAGCAAGTGTGATTAAGAATTTAGTCACAGATTTTTGTGCACTATAATCACATTTGTTATTAGTTTCTTAACTAAGCCAGAGATACCTTGGTTTCAGTGAGACACTTGAATTATGTAGGGATGTTCTGGACTTGAAGCATGGAGTTTTATTTATCTCAAAATTCTGCTAACATTAGGAAAAAAAACCAAAAACCTTTTCTAAAGTTGTACAGACAGCTTGCATATTAATTCAAACCATGCAATACAGTACACTCTAAAATTAAAACCACCAACATAGTTACTTGGTATAAAATACTGATACTCTTTATAGACTATGTGTAATTTCTGTTTGTTGTGTAAAAATATGCTTATTGTAACTATAATATCCCCGTGAGCTCATTCTCTGTTTAACCCTCATGTTCTGTTTTGTCATAAATCAAATCACAAAATAACTACACAACAAAGGCGCTCTCCTTCCTCTGTATTAGTGCGTTATCTGGCAAAATAGAATCCTGATCCCAGCTAGGACTCCCAGCCGTCACGAAACAAACCATCGACGCAAATGATAAAGGGCTACTTACCAGGAAATACAGTTCCTTTTAAATATCCAATAACATTAGAAATTGTCTTGTAAGTTGTAACTGACTGAACATTCAGACTGATTATTTTTTTGCCTGTTAAAAGATAAAAAGAAAAAAAAAAAAGAAAATGTTAAACTTGTTCATCCAGCCAAGAAATCTACAGGACACAGATATAAATTCCCCACACATAAAAAAAAGGTAAAAACAAAGGAAAAAAAAAAAGATGCGGAAGAGGAACCAGATTAAAACATGAACTATGACATTATTTTCTTAGTCCCATTTTAGCAGTGGGGTTTCAAAGCTGGAATCTCAAAGAGATCTCTGCTCCTTGAGTTAAAAGATCATTCAAATCACCTAATAAATGCTGCCAGAATACAACTGAATAAAAAATTTAAAGAGAGTAGGATTTGCATAATTCTATGATAAGGAAATTTGTCTTAATCTTTATAGGTTTTTCTCAACCCAATCCTTCACCCAGGTCAACCTTGCAATAATATTCACAAAATTATACCCGGTTCACATTACACTATTCTTCTGGAGAAAACCCTTTACACTAAATCAGATGGGAAAAGTTAGACCTCTGCGTTACTAATCACTTTGCCAGCATAGCCTTTGGTGATATACTTGTGAACTCATGCCAACAGACGACAGCTTTTGTTGGCTTAGCTGGTATCAACTGAGGAAATGGTATAAATACAAAGGCAGAAAAATTCCCAAACCTGCCAATATATAAGGGACTTGCCAGTACTGCTATGCCAGTTGAGACTAGCACAGGATAAAGCCAGAGAAAAGTAAATGTTTGAGTTAAAACAGCCTAGAAAAATTAACTGTCCTTTGCTGAGAATTACTGTCATTTCCTCTGTCTCGGAGGTGGGACACACTGACCGTGCTAACTCCTGCAGTCTGTGGCAATGGAAACAAAACAACTAACTACAGGGAGCTGCTGATACCTTTAAAATGTTTTGTTTGCATTATAATAGACTGTATTAACATTCATCTCGTCTGAAAGGTCATAACTTCTATCTGAGAAAAGTGAAAATGTCTTAAACGGCTCTAACTTAAATGCTAGCAATTGTCTGACAATAACCAGTGTCATCCTGGAGGGTCAGGGAGGGCCCCTAACATCCAGCGCACCGCACCACCCCCACCGCAGACCTGGGCTTAAAGGCGTCTGTGAGCCAGAATTCCTTCAATGTCCACATCCCAACTGTCACAGACCAAAATTAAAATACGCCACGGATCATTTTGCTCTCTGTCTCCCGGGCTATTATCCTCCCACAGATCTATTTCTAATAGTTTGTTTCCTGGCTTTGTTTCTCAAGATATGCAGAATACGCAAGTGGGGAGTTTACTGCAACATGTAAAATAAAACCAATACATCTCTACGATACTGTTCTTCAAGGTTCATTTGCTGGCACTTCATCTGGTAAAAATACTTTAAAATTCTCTAAAAATAAAATCCAATATATTTTCATTCCCTAGTCTTCATTGATATTTGAAAAAAGCAAACCAACTGCTAGGATCTTTGTTTGTTTTAAAAAAACGTACTAGCAATATTCATTCTACTTTTTACTTAGACAAAACCTCCTCTGTTGTCAACAGCTGCGTCCTCTATGCCACGACTCTGTTTTTGTTTATTTTGAAAATAAATTCTTATGAAGCCAACTGACTTAACTCTTTTTCCTTAATCAACATCAGCTATCCAGTCTTCAACTGACAATAAAGAAACAGAAAATGAACTTTGGGCAATCCACATATTCTGCAATCGGATATTCAAGTGAATAGTCATGGAACACAGCAGCCAGCTTCAAGTGACTTGGGCTTAAAGGCTCCGTACACCAGGCGAAAAAGCTCACTACTCTTTGGAGTACACCCCAGAAGCAAAATTCAATCCCCTTTAAACAGTGACAACAAACCTCTCTTCCTAATGTTCTATGTTAAAGACCTTCAAAACTTTCTCTCTTTTTTCTGCATTCTCTAGAAAACTATGAGGAGACTTTAGCTTAACAGTGTTTGGGATACACTTTGCGTTTATGTAAGCCAAAAATTACTTCTGAAATACAAGGATAGAAAAGTATTTATTGTCGATATTATTTATTTATTCATTTCTTGACTTGAAATGTGTAAATTGTCTCATACCAAGTGACTACTCCTCCTCTCACAATTACATAGCTATTTTTAGAAATGCATTGTTATTTCCCACTCATTTGCTCATCTGCAGTTCTAAAATTGTCGATCAAAACCTACTACTCGTAGCCTGAAAAATGAGTTCTGTTTTATTTCGGTTTTTGCTTTTAACCTTATCCCAAGCTCATACCAACATAGAGGAGTACAAATTTGAGCCCAATTTTCAAACACGTTGGTTAAATTCTTGAATCCTGATCATACTAAACACCTATAACCAGACAGTTTTCTGAGCATTCCTTTCAGTACTGGATTTTAAAAAGCATCATTAGGGACTTAGGTTTGAAAATTGAACTCATTTTCCA